TCGACGGCGATTGGGGACGAAACCCTGACGCTTTTGGGTGGCTTAGGGCAGACTGCTCGTCAAGTCGTATTTACCCGAGGTCGACATATGGTGTGCCTGTGAGTGTTTACATACGTGTAAACAAATATGCGTGCTGGGGGAAAAGGAGACAAGCCGGGGGTTAGAGTGAGAGGCAAAAAGAGAACCTGGTAAAAGTATGCGTCTGGGCTTTCAAGCTTGGCCAGAATATGAGAACGACGCGGAATATGATCCTGCTCAGAGAGGCGTAGGCAAGGACTTAGAGAAGAAAGAGAGACAGAGGTGGGGAACACACACATACCATATACAGTATGACTACCAAGGATTAGGGTGAGGGGCTTTTTCGGTTGCCAGATGAAGACCCCAAAACTTCTATAAGAGATTGCGCAACATGCCACAAGTCCTCTTCAAGGAATCTTGAGGGCTCATCGTGCTTCCTGTTGTATTAGGATGAAGTCAACGAGGTTCTGATTATTCACTTGTTGTGTTTTTGTGTTACAACAGCATCCATTCAATTTTGTAGCAGTCGGCAGCAGTTAAGGTCTCAGGTGAGATGGAGTCTATCCCAGGTGATTTGGGGCAAGAGGCGGGTTACAGCCTGGACTGGTCACGACTCAACTACAACAAATGTTTTTTTTTTTGTGGGGTTTTTTTTGCATTTTTTGGGGGAATGAAAACCCACGCAAGCACGACAAAAACCGGAGATTCGAACCTGAACTTGCTCATGACACTTCCAAAGTGCTGCCTATTAAAGCAACAATAGATCGTAATTCTACATTCAAATAAGAGTAAGATTACGCAAGAGGTATTGATTTCCGATTTAGTGCCTCGACACGTGTACCTCCAAAACACATTTAAACAAGCAACGTGACAAAAGGAACAACACAGAAATGAACAAAACCTTTTCATCCATCATAATGCGGAACTGGAGTTTATCCCAGCAGACTTTGGGGCAATAGACTGACTATGCTCTGGACCCGTCACCAGTAATTTTACTTTTGTATTTTGTTTTGTTTGGCATCGACTGACTTCGCCTCATAGTTTCCCATGGAATGTAACCTCAGCATTAAACCACTGATCACCGTTGCTTTCTTACCCATGACCCTGAACAGAATAAGCGGTACAACATTGATGGATGGACAACTGAGACCTTTGCTTTTTTTTAAATTTTTTTTTATCATGCACATCTGAATTGGGCTGCATGGGAGGGACGAAAATGGACTTGGGTGACTTGAAACAGTAAGTCAAAATCCATCTCAAGAGATATACTTAAGTTGAGTCTGCTGTGGTATGCTTTGGATTTCATCTGACCTTTGGGGTGTTGAGGGCAAAGAGCAACGAGTTCAACAAAGAAAAGTGACACAATACAGTTTCTCATGCTGAGATTCTTCCCGAGACACTAATGACCCCTGAGTACTCCCACTGTTGGAATAGCTTTGACAAATATCACGTCATAAAAGCTAATTTCAAGGTACGATTAAGCGTCACATTTTCACTTTTCGGGTGAAGTGAAAAAAATGGAGCGAACAACATAAACAGAGTCAAACACACAAATTAGTAATACATTTTTATAAAACCAGTTTATTTCAAACTTTTGCGAGGGCTGGAAATGGTATTTCAATTAATTTAAATTGTGAACATTTCTTTCTGAAAAATGTCTTTATACCGTATTCAGTAAGTATATTGCCTTATGAGCTTGGTCAAAATACATTCATTGTTACTTTTACTTTGTCAGCGACTGACCATTATCTGTCAAGAAACGTGCGTTAACCTCTGTTACCTCCAAAATTACTTGCTGTTGCTTTTTGTAACAATAATAATGCACAGTGGCTCATGATCATTTCAATGTATGTTTTGTGAGTGATTGATTTTATTGAATGTAGAAAAACACCACATGGAAGACATAAAAAACTAAAATATCAATACATATCTTGGTTCAGTACAGTTTATATGCTCAAAGGGAGTAGGAAGAAGTAGGAAAACTTATCAAGTCATTCCCCTTTTTTTCTCAATAAATGATTTTGAATCATGATATCCAAAACACAAATAGGTTATTTATAAATCAGCACCGGTATATATCCCATTCAAGACCAAAAAAACAACGTTCCTCTTTACATATGTTCAAATATCTGTATGTATGAGCGCGAAGATTATGTTTCGCAAGAAACTTGTTCAGTCTTTGTGCAAATTGTTTTGCTAGAATTTTTGAGAACTGTGCTAGCAAACGATATTGGTCTATAATTCGTAAATAAGTGTTTCTCTGTGTTGAAAAGACAGGTTAAATATATATATATATATATATATATATATATATGAGAGGTTTCACAATATTAAAACAGTCAGTGGACTTTTTATTTTTTTGTATTTTAAAAATATTCAATGTTTGTATATCATTTACAGCCCTAAGGAACACAGTGTGGAGCAATTGTTCTTAATAGATTGGTATATTTCATTTTTATTTCTTATTGTTTGAATGACTTAATGGCAACCAAATAGATGACGTAATTATCGATTAATAACATGTGTCACGTTTTAAAGACAAACTTCAAGCACATCCTGACAATAAAACACTCTCCCCACAATTGTATCACCGGAAATCCAATTGCGCTGCTTTTCCGCTTGTTGGATTTAGATCATACCGACTCCGGCGGAGACCAGCAGTTTTATGGCTGTAATTACGTAACTCTCCTGATTTAACGTTCCTCTTATTTAAGTCTTGGAAAGTGGTTTATTGCACCAACACAACATCCTTTCCCTTCTTGGGTTTCCCCGAGGGGACTTTGGGGAATAATTGTGAGTTTGTGGGGTCTTAAGTCTGTATAACTGTCCATTGTCTAAAACAATGATTTATGACCCTCACAGTAATTGAGCAGACAAAGAGAAGATGAGACCGTCAAATAAAGTTCAACTCGTTGTCCTCCAAGATGTTTCCAGGGAAAACCGGGAATCCTTAGTGGTCCTCTGTGTGCTTAACTGCTCTTATCTTTGACTAAATTGACTTGCTTTGAGAGGGACATTATAGCACAACACTCATTGGTGGTTTTTATCAAGATGTAAAGCTAGGTTGAAGCATGAAACTGGCTGCAGAGCTCCTTGTCAGTGGCTCGAAGATTCCCAGATGAATGGAAACTATTCCTCAAAATGAGCTGCGGTCATATGAGCCGAATAAAGTGAAGGCCGCGGCAGAACTTGGATTTCATGTTCATCATCAAACCATCTAGAGACTTTTTTTGCGGTTTCTCCTTTAGTTCATCACCTGCTGACATATGATTATATGAAACATCTGGGTGTTCTTTTAGCATATAAGGACAACCACAATAACAAACATATTGTTAATTTAGTACCTCCCTGTAGGTGTCAATCAAAGCCGACCGTGCAAATTATTTTATTTGGGCTCTCATTACATTGTGTGCCTACCTGGTTATACACACACTACATCTTGCCAAATGAAACGACTCGAACCATTTGCAAAGACATTGAATTGCGAAGCGTTATTTTGATCTAGTAGCTTTTGGCCACATAGTGTTGACATCAGCGCAGAAGGTAGCGGCATTTGAGATGTGCTCAGCTGTCCTCACCAACTTACCACCCAGATGGCCTCTCCTTTCGGTGCTAACTTCCTATCAGCACTTGTGGCAACAAAGCACAAGGATGTGTCAAACACAAGGTCTGCAAGGTCCAGGCAGTAAAGAGAGTGACTATTTGAATAGCCAGCAGAAATTTGACACTGACACGAGGAGTATGTTACTCTAAATCTGTTACTCCCTATACAAAATAAAATAGATGGTAGTTGTAGATGGGACAAAAATTCAGGAAAAACAGAAAAATAACCCAAAAGATGAAAAAAGGTAAAAGCAAATCCGCAAATCTGTGGCCGCCAATTGTCAATGGGTCAATTGTCCTGTCAGGTGTACAGACATGTATATATGTATATGTTTATTTGACCTACTCAATCTCACTTAACTGGGGTAGAAACATTTATTCTTAAATTTTTAAATTGTAAGCGGACCACCACAGAAAACAGTGACATATATTTTTTCTGAGGGCTCTTACAGTATGTGATGTTCCGAGATGACCAATACAGCGCATGATGTGTGTCGTTGTACCTCGCCTGCGAGAGGCAGCACGGTGCCAAAGGACATCCAGACTGCCGGGAAAACTACAAAGAAGAAGAAATGGAAGAAGATCGGCTAACTGTTGTCTTAGCTGTTAACTAGATTGCGGGTGCAAATATTTCTCCTTCTCATTTTTATTGTGGTGAATGACTTGGAAGACACGTATGTAAATAAATACATTTAGACAGTGTAAAATATTAGTCTGCCACCATCTTGTGGTTAACACTGAAATTACACTGCAAATTAATGCAGCCCAGGGCAGAGTGGAGATGTAACGGTACACTCAATAAAACAAAATAAAAGTAAAAAAACCCCAAAACAATCATAAGTCCCTTATGATATGTACAGTACCTGTCGCAAACAAATTTATTTGTATTCTTATGAACTGAGAAGTAGTATGTACGTGTAAATATAAGCGCAATGGGATAATGCTTTACCTGTACTTCGATTTTTTTTTTTTTTTTCACAAGGAAATATACTTTGTAAGTAGACCTCTTGTGTAAACAGATATTGAACTGTCTGAGCGCGCTGCAATGTGAGAGTTTAAACTAACATTTTCCTGACTTGGAGTGTATTTATGCACTGTCAAACCCTGATCGAACTCCATTATGACCCCTTTCACCTTCTTTAGTTGATAAAGTGGGCTCCTTTTCCACGGGCAGATGTGAATGCAAATGCTTCTTATCACATGTGTAGTGTCCTGTTGCCCTGGAGGAGGGATGATAGTGACGTTAGAGCGCTGCTGGCCCCTGTTAGAACAACTCCAGGAGTCTTCTTGAGGAATGTGGGTTTGTCCTGTAGACCGTTACTACCCCCCAAAGCCCCCCCACCCCCACCCCCTCCCGTGCACGCGCCACCCTACAACCTTCACGAGCTCGCTTGTCACGGTTGCAGAGGAGGGACTAAATTACACCAGTGCGCGAGTCTGGGTGCATCTGAGTGTGCGTGGGTAATTCACAGCAGATGACCAGTTGAGGGGATGGAGGTTTACTGGGGACGTGAGCGTTTCCGCAGACGGCTCAAATACATTTAAGCTGCGGGGTGATGGAGCCTTTGCCCGGCGCATGAGTGCGGATGCGATTGCGCCTGATAAAGCGGACGCGAATGCCGCACCGGTGTCACCAGCGCCGTGGGGATGGAGACCGACTATTTCCTGGCAGGGATCTGCGTGGTCCTGCTGTGCCTCCGTGGTTTCGCCTCCCCGGGAGTTTGTCCCGACCGCTGTGACTGCCAGCAACCACAGCGTCTCACGTGCGCCAACAGAGGTTTGCGCTTTGTGCCACCTCAAAGCGGCGACCGGGAAGAGGTGCTGGTCTTGAGTCTTGGGGGCAACTTCATCGGAAACATCTCTGCAGTCGACCTGGGAAGCTTCACCGGTTTAGTACGCTTGGATTTACAGTTCAATCAAATCCAAAGCATCCATCCTAGAGCATTTGAGAAACTGTATCATTTGGAGGAGCTCTACTTGGGACATAATCATTTATCTGAGATTCACACTGGGACTTTGCAGCCCTTGAAGAAGCTGACAGTCCTTTATGGGAATAATAATGACATCATTGAAATAACGCCGGGGCTTTTTGACACTTTGGACCGTCTTGTTAAGTTGCGCTTGGATGGCAACAAAATTCAAAGTTTGCAGGATTCACTTTTTAAAGACTTGGACAATCTGCGCTATCTTCATCTGGAGTCTAATCAGCTGCAACACATTCACAGAAATGCCTTTTCTAAACTTGCCAACCTGCGCTTTCTCAACCTGTCCCGCAATAAGCTGCCCGCCCTGCGTGGTGCTCCCACCTTTGCGCATCTCACGGCCTTGACAACTTTACTGCTGTCTGAAAATGAGATCCAACACGTCGGCAATAAAGTTTTCCACAATCTAAAAAAACTGTCCACATTATCTCTCTGTAACAACAGGATTGCTCATCTGCACAGGGGTACTCTGCTCGGTTTATCAAGCCTCCTCTCGAACTCCCTCCCCTTATCCCAAACGGGGCAATTCCTTAACTTTTCTCCTCTCTCCCCCCACTCCCAATCCTATAGTAGTTGAATATTCCATCCTTGGTGCGCATACATTCCTGCCTCTTAATTCCAACAGCGGGCTGCTCTACGTCAAGGCGCTCCGATTGTTACAAGGTATTGCGGGCATGCTTATTAGTAACCTCATGACCAGAGTGTGATATGGTTTATTCAATGACTTCGAGGGGGTGACTATTCGACCAGATACCAGTGCGCGTTTCACGGCGGATTAGATTCACGTCAAATGTGCATGTTAACATGCCGCATGCAAATTGGTGCTAAAGTTTGACATTGCATTGTTCATGTGGTTGTTTATTTTTTTAAACCGGCTTTTTATTGCCTTGTCTGTATTAAAAACACGTTAGTGTTGGCGTTTTAGCTCGATTCTCTCCGCTTGCAAAAGTACAATCTTTGTTGTTGGTACTTTTGGTTCACGTCACGTTTAATGAAGCCCATTGAGGCTGATGCGTTTATTTCCATTCATTCATAAAATTTCTCAGGCTTCACTGCTGCAGCGCGACATGGACACAAAAAAGTGCAACTTTGATTCTCAAACAGTTGCATTTTTTATAGTGCAGCGCTGAGGGGAACTTGTTTGGAACAACTTCAGTTCCAATTTTAAGGAGTTTGCTGACCGCCCCCCCATCCCCCCTCCTCCTCCTACTTCCCAAGAAACGAACTTTTCGTCATCATATGAGCTTTGATAATATTCGGCATTAAATGTATCCATGTAAACCACTAACAAGTGGTTTGCACATCTGCCTCGCATTTCTGAAGTTTCGTGTTCACATCTCATTCCTGGCCTCCTTGTGTAGTTTGCGTGTTGTTTCCAATGAAGACTTGAAATGTCCAAGGATTTGTTAGCGAATGGTTGTTTGTCTGCCATGAAATTCACTTAGGACCAGTAAAGGGTATAGTGAATGGTTGAATGCCTGCCCTGAAAGTGACTTGCGACTAGTCCAAGGTATACCCCGCCTCTTGCTCAAAATCAGCTGGGATTGACTTCAGCCATACTCATTAATCACAATGCTCTTCTAGCTACAAATCAGTGCAGCATTATTATCAGTCTATATCAGGGGTGTCAAACATACGGCCCGCGGGCCGGATCCGGCCCGCAAAGGAGTTTAATCCGGCCCGCGAGATGATTATGTAAAGCATGGTGTCAAACATACGGCCTGCGGGCCGGAACCGGCCCGCAAGGAGGTTCAATTAGGCCCACAGGATAATTTAAAAGTGAAAAAAATGCATTAAAGACAGAATTAATATTTTTAATAAGGTGCAATTCATTGAGTATCCGCAAGGGGACACTGTTTTGATCAGAGAAGAAGACAACAGCAGCCTCAGTCCGTCACTGTGACAGACCCATGACAGCAGACGCTATCAATAGCACTCTCACATTTACACATTTAATAGCACTCTCCTTAGTTTGTAAGATTACATTTAGATTTTATATGCACGTGTAAATGGTTTAAAACTTCCTTTCTTTATGAATCTCGTTTAATCTTAAAGTGCATTACTATATTTTTCAATACCAATTACTTGTTAATGTTTGTACAATCAGTGGGATCATTTGCAATGCATATATGTGAATGATAAAAGTAAATTGCACATTTGTCGAAGGAAATGTAAGGTGCTTCATGAAATATTTTGTAAAAGATATGTTCATTAAATTTCAACATTTTCCTAATGTTCTTGTGCTTCTTTATACCAAAACAAAGGAAAGACATTGTTTTGGTTATTTATAGCAAAGTATGGTATCATTTTAATGGTCCGGCCCACTTGACATCTACCGAGGCCGTATGTGGCCCACCATGTGAAATGAGTTTGACACCCCTGGTCTACATGTTTTCAAATTGAAATCCTATTTTAGAGAAATGCCGTTTTGAATGAGGCAGAATGTTCCTATCGTCTCAGAATGTCAGAATGTCAGAATGTCTCAGTCATAAAATGGGGAGATTTTTTTTTTTTTTTGGGTGGGGGAGAATAATGCTTTACCTTCAGCTTGTAACAGCCTAAACTTGGTTTCTTGTCCTCTTTAAGTGCTTGTGCAGATTTTCTCACGCTGGTACAGACTTCAAATATACAAACAAAAGCTATAGGCAGCTTTATTTGGACTGCATGTGGTGTAAAAGTGCTCTGATCACCGACCGCTCTTGACTGCTGTACTGTAATAGATCAGGCACAAGAATCTTTTGTGCCGCCATGCCGCTCAACTCTCTTATTACAAGGAGCTCCTTTGACCTCAGTGGAAAAGTAGTAAAATGCATGAACACACACACTGATTGGAAATCAAACTTTCATCTCTGCCAAACACTGTCAAGTCATCATCCATCACTGCTCATCGTCCTCATCGAACATTTGCATTTTATTTTTCCAAATGATGTGGGTCTGATATCTTTGTCCACTCTTATTTAGGCTACGTTGTATGTCCTGTGGTAGGAGCGATGCTTGCTAGAGTCTGACCAGGGCCCCACAGTTCTTTCTTCAAGCTGTGGTCTATAATGAGGTGGTGAAGAGAAAATAAACCTCAAGGCTGTCCGATCCAGTCAGACCCTGCATGTTTTTCGACTGTAACATACCCCCAAAAAGTCAGAAATGGATAGACTATACAGCTTTTGTATGAGGTCAGCACATCCAAAATTGAATGATTTAGTGTATGCCTGCTTTTATAAATTACATAATGAACATAATTGGCCTACTTGATGAGGAATTTGTCCTCATCTATTAACTGGTCTAACGTCTGCTTGTGGAATGGCTGATTTTTTTCAGGGAGCAAACTTTCGGTCAATGGTGGCTTTAGCTTCACCAATTCATTCTCCGCCCATTTAATATGTATGTCTTTGGCTCCCCCTAGGAAGGCACAATGCTTTTAGGGGGTAAGAGTCTCCAAGTTTAAAGCTTGTGAACCTTGAAATCCAAGGACGGTCTATATTCATCAAAATCCATTGTTAATGATTAAATATGGGTGTGAGTTGTATACACACATGCGGATGTTCTCTTTCTGAAGGCAGGACTTTTCATACAGTTCTTGTATTGACTTTGTCAGGTGCGGCTTGTCAAAATTTGTTCTTGCATTGGTCAATTCATAGCATAATTAATATAAAACATTTTATTTAAAGCAAAAAAAAACCCAAAACAGCACATGAATGTTGAGTGTGTGAAACCACGCCCACGGAAAAATGGATGCTACTTTGCCTAGCATCCTCATGCCTTGGCGTAACTACGTGGTAAGTCTTTTGTAATTTTAGTAAGTTAGTTTTTATTTCGGCGTCATGGTGGTCAACTGCTCAACACGGCAGCCACACAGTGTCGAGATTGTCAGGCGCTCGATTCCGGGCTGCGGCATTTCCTTGTGGAGTTTGCATGTTCTTTGCATCCCTACTGACAGCTGGGATTGGCTCCAGCATGCCCGCAATAATCGTGAGGATAAACGACTTGGATAATGGATGGACACATGGAGAATTTTTATTTCTTTATTTTGCTTCAAATGTCTTCTTTTTTGTAATTGCATTTAAATGCTGTACTTTTAATGATGTGAAGCATACTCCAACTCTCCCAACACACCCATTCTCAGAGTTGTGCTCATTCGTCAGAGTGAATTTCTGAACGCGCCTTAGGTTAGAGTTAGTTAGCTTTGCAGTCCATATCAGCAATGGATACCTCTGTAATTAAAAAAAACACATTTCCACCCCCAAATTTCCCAGTCTTCCTGGGGTCTAAAGAAGAAGAAGACAATTGGAAAAATGAGCCTGGTCCAAGTCCAATAGGAGAAGCAACCACAGCTTGTTAGTGCGAAGGCTTCAAAATAGTGTGCAAAAAGCATTCCTCAATTAGAACCGTGAAAAACGTCAGGGTGATGTGGCGGACCTTTTTGTGCATTTTTGTCTCACTGAGCAATGCGCACGGAAGTGGATACAAAGGCAAAATCAATCACTGCGATGGGACGGTAGGGTCCAGATCTCTAACTTGGTGCAAATTCATACCTTATATTGAATACACATCACTAGTGTGTATTATACTTTTATTAAAAAAAAAAAACAAAAACAAAAACAAAAAAACGAGAGGACATCTCAAGCAAGTGAAAGAATGAAAATCTATTTTTTCTCAGCCCCCACACATATCGGTCAAGCCCTTGCTTAGCCCCGGGAGAGAAAAAAATCTTGGCGCCGTGCCTGCACAAGTATTGCATACTAGAGTAGACGATGCTTTTTTGAGGGGGTTGTGGAAAAAGGTTGCTAGTTGATCGCACGCAATTAAAAGCAATTAAAAAGTAAAAACCAAAGTGTGTCACTGGGCATTGTTTAAGCTGTGCCCCGAATTTTGAGGCTAAACCTCCACAATTCACTGCTGCACACTTCTCATGCTTTAGCATGTTTCACCAATTACCTTAAAACATGAATTTGGAAACGCAATTTTGAATTCACGATCAAATCATACAAAACATTCTTAACTGCCATGCAATTGTTAAAAAAAAACAACCAAAAAAACATTAACCACTGTAATTGCAAATTTCCCCAGTGTGGGACAAATAAAGGTTATCTTATCTTATCTTATGATGTTAATACGTAGTCCATTCTAAGAGCCAAGGCGCTTTCTGAGTGTAAATGTGAGAAACACACTGAATGTACCTCTGTGTTCTGTTTTTTCTGGACTTTTATTTCAAGTTTCTTTTCTTTCCAGTCCCAACTGTGGAGTGCACACCAGGACTTGGTCTTGATCCAGGTCGACATTGTTCTGCTCAGCCTGGGTCCAAACGGTGATCAGAGAGTCTGAGAAGGAACTTTAAAGGGCTTGTGTTTCATTCGGTGGGATCGCCGGCCGGACCAATGGGATCAGGGAAGCTGGCCCAGGTGCTGCTGGGGTGGGTGGCGATGTGTCTCGCACCAATCCAGGTGGCGTACTGTCAGACTGCCAATGGGAATGGACCGCTCCAGGCAAGCCGCTTCACATCCACTTCGGACCAGAGAGAGGCGCAGCGGGTTAGGCGCCGTGGCCCGGAGACACTGAGAGGGTAGGCATAACCGACTATACGTATGCACATTCACACAGCTGTTGCAGCTTTTCACGTTTGTATAGTTACTGTGGGTGTGCGGCAACAATTGCTTTTAACACAATAGGGTGTGAGCACTGTTTCTCAGGGGTTCAACTTGCACTTACAATACAATACAATACATCCTGATTTATATAGCGCTTTCACAACTTACCACTATTATATATCTGTTGCTGTTTCTGAATGCAGCTAATTATTGAAGCGACTTCAAACGCTCACATCGGACAAATATCGAGAAATAGCAGTGAAAACGCTGGCTTAGATGGCCATCGTGAAAGCCGCTTTTGTCTTTCACGACGGTAATGTGGAGCATAATAATTCAAGAGCTTCATTTAGCAGAATAATGGAAAATGCATCTCCTCCAGTTTTGCATCAACGCCTTGAGACCTTTGTCGACATATTGTATCTGGAGAGGCTTGAAACCATAAATGACTTTTCCCCCACTGATTTCCTGGCAGTGGCCTTTCAACTACTGTGCTTTCTGGTGTGAGGCCAGACCGCCTTATATCAAATCATGCTGCGGAATACTAGTGCATTGTTTTCCCCAAAACAGCACATGTTTGACTTTAACAAGCTGCCTGGCACGTTGAACTCACCACGTGTATTTACAGCAAATTGACATTTCATGGGAAAGAGAAGAAAAAGCAGCTTTCTTTACATCCCATGCAGCGATGATGAAGGAGAGTGTGACCCAAATTCTCCTGTGTTTTGCTTATAAGCTGGAGAAAGTAGTTCACAGCCACTGAGGGGTGGGCTAAATTGAGGGAGCTTATGTAAAGTTAGTGTTCTGCAGTGAGTGTGAGCACTGTGAAACAAGTGATGCGCAATCAGGCCTTGTCTTTTAGCCAAAACACGAATCAGAAACAATGATCTACGTTTACAACTTAAGATCTCATATTTCCTCCATGCAATTGTGTAAATGATATTCAATACAGTCCATTCTCTAAATAACGAAGCACTTCTCTTGGCTGCATTGGTTCTGTTACCTGAATGTGGATGCTTGATTTTTTTTTTTTTCACCAATCAGATTTTGACGTCATAGGGCTGGTCGGGGCCAACTTGCTTACCCTTGATGATGTCAGCTTTTTTCATTTTTCCTACTGGTTGCTCAGAGCAAAACTTGTTACGGACTAGCAAAAACACATCTGTTGTGATCAACGCTCATTAACAGAGATGGGCGTTCCGTCCTTTGGATGGAACGACCCATCCGCCCGTCCCGCATAGATGACCATTTTTGGGACTGAGGACAGAGGATGAGAAATTTTGAAAAAGGACAGATTAAGCAAGGACGGAAGTGGGTTATAGTCTGTCTCTTTAATCGTCCCTAGGTGGGTTAGGTATGTAATGTCTGGAGGCAAAATAACACGGCGTCTTTGTATATGTCATGTAAATGTTGTCTATGATAATACTTGCTTGTGGTTGCTGCAAAAGGGGCCATTCAAGATGAGATCAGCAGTGCTACGCGAATGTATGGAGCAAAGTAAGTAAGTCTTGTCTGTAGGGTTTTAATTGCACCCCCCACCCGCCTCTCTTCCACGGCGTCATGCACGGACGCTTTTTTTTTTTCCGGAGTTGGGGTAGACTGGGATGGAAGCGCTTTAAAAGGACGAGGATGATTACTATGTGAATAAGGACAGAAGGACGATGACAGAAGGGTACGCAGGATAGACCGGCAAAATAGGGCAAAGTGCGCATCTCTGCTCATTAATACTTTTAATAATAAGCATCTCTGGTGAGTATGATTCTTTTTTTTTAATGTTTTTGCCATGTCATGTTATGTTGTGTTTTTGTAGTACTAATGGGTTCTACATTTGGTTAGTGGTTTAGGTTGGGAAAATCTCCACAGAAGGCTCAGGCACAAATGCACAGCCCTACACCGATATGGACAAAAGTATTAGGGCCCTTGAAGTAGAACTGGAAGAAAATTCAGTAAACCATTTAATGACAATACAATAATACAACAAAACACAAATCCAGGAAAACATGAGGTTTACACAATGACATCACATTGCACTGGGGTTTGCGAACTGCGTGATGGTTTTGCCTTTTCTTTTAAATTGTTGCTTTTTTTTCTGGCAATACTGAAGCCCCTCGGGTCTAGTGTCAGCACAAAACACTTCTTGAATAGGCGTGTTTTATAGTTTTTCTTTTTTACCATCAGTGGTTAACTTACTTCATATTTGTATGACAGTTAAGCATGTAAGTAAAGTCAATTAAGGTGAATGATGGCAGCAATTACAATTTAAATTGCTTTGGAATGTAAACGCATTGGAGGTCACCGAGCACTACAAAATGGATTGTGTTCATTCACATTTTTGAATAGCATGTACACGTATGGACATGTCTGTTTTTAAAAGTGACGTTTATATGAGTGTCTGTGAAATGAACCTAAAAGATCAAATCAGCTGTGAACAGATACACCGTCAGTACTCCACCCATTGTCTCCTCTATTGCGCTCCGCCGTCATATTCAACCTCTTCCACTTATAGGAGCGGGCAACATAATTTGGCCTTGTATATTTTGCTACTACGCCAAAAGAGAAAGGAAAAAAAAAAAAAACAAGGCGCGTTTTGTTGAGCCCCGTTGTCAAAATCAGTTATTCAAGTCATGCACCTTAGCATATGGTTGTCCTTGTGCCAAGCCACAGGAAATGAGGTAGTCCTATCACCCGAAGGACCTATGAAAAGGGACGTTTGTTTCACCGATGTAGGTGACAAAGCAGCAGACGTACAAGACCACATGCTGATGGCGACAGAATATACACACCCATACTTTTGTTTTACTGTGTCAAGTCAAACTCCAGAACAAGGGTTGACATATTGCTTGTTTAAATTTTTTTCAAACAGGAATGTCGAGTGATAACGAAAATAGAGGTCCGGTTGAACATAAAGGCAGCTGTCTAAGAGTCGGCGTTTGGCCTGGCTGACTCTGTGTTGAACGGTTCATCATCTCGATTGTGTTTCTTGACATATCTCAAATTTTCATGAAATAACATCTGGAGGGGCATTATATCGCCCAAATTAAATATATGACCAGGCAGATCCACATTCACACTTTGTCTGGTAGAGCGATTACAAACCAAGGGGCAATTGCATATTATTCCCATCAAACACAAAGGGATATTTTTTTAAGAACTGAGAGAAGAATAAAACTTTTCCGATTCACAACGTTAACATTTGGAAACATAGCAGGGATGAGGATGAACGGCTCATAGCTCCGTCTGTCCCTCCCTCCGTCCGTCCGTCCATCCATTATTTATTTATTTATTTTTAATGTGCTCAATAAATTAATAGCAGCTACGTATTGCAACAATAAAACAAAGTCTGCAGTGCACCAGCACCAAATCTTGTGGACATGAAATGGAACTGGTCATTATAATGTCAGCTGGCAGCTGTAACCAGATTTTTACTTTCCCCAGGAGCTGCCCTTAGCTGGCCAAAGCAAACAAGTGTCTCGTTTATTTTTCATTACGGTTTGTCACTGGCTAACAAAATAACTTTTAATCGTTTAAAATGTGAACTGTGTTCCATTGAGCCACCTCTTGGGGAAATGTGCACCATATTGACAAAGTATTGGGGACACCTGGCCATTAGAACGAAAGGAAAGTATGTCTGGGAAGACATTCTATATTCTAAGAGATTGAATGACGCTGTGGGATTTTTTATTTTTTTTTGGCCATTCAACTAGAAGAACACTTTTGAAGTCACAGTTATTCTGAAGTGGTTGAGTCAGGGTTCTTCTGCATGAAATTCAGGCAAGCACACTTTTATGGGGTTTGCTTTGTTAACTGGGAACAGAAATGGCCTTTCCAAAACTGTTCCCACAATGTTGGAAAAATACAAGCCTGTAAAATGCAGAAAAATCATAGATGTCTAAGACGTATATCGCAAGTCTTCTGTGCATTTAGTATTTGTATAATTAGCTATTTTTTTTGGAATGATGTGGTAAGAAAAACTAAGTTGCACAGGAGTTGTTGAAGGTCACCCACCGATTCACCTCAAAGTACAACGATATGTGGTACATTCAAGACCCTGCAGTCTATTCGAACGCTTTTATCCAAGTGTTGTACCAATCACAGTCTACTGTCAGTAACTGTGCGTGTGGCAGATGGAGGGTGGTTAGCGTAATGATGGCCATTATGCTGGCCTTGGGCTAACGTGCAGTGTTTATTTGCTGGCGAGAATTCTATATCCACAAATCTGTCTCTGGTTTAACCGCTAGTGCTGATGTTGACTAGTTCTGACTCACAGGCTCCCACAACACACGGCTGCTGGCTATCAGTCCATTCAGCGTTGTATCTGATCAGACTTTTGGCTCGCTGCCTTGAATGCTTTAATTGAAGTCGGATTTTTGCTTGTAGGGAGCACTGAACATGATTTCGTGTTGAATGCTGCCTCATACGCAAGGTAAAACAAACAACCGATTATTTCTTAATGTCAAGGAAAGATTTCCCACATTTTACTGTATTTAATGTCAAATTAGCGTGTGTCAAATATAGCACATTGAGGTGATTAAATCCTGTCTGAGAGTTTTTGCGTTACAACATGGCTTGAAAACCGCTGCAGACTTTGTATAATAGTATGAAATCTTTAAATAGTGAACCAGACATTTTATGTTGATGCCTTGAAAGACTCCTGATACATTCTCATGACTTTGACCTAGCTTCAGACAATCCTTACTAAAGGCAAACAGAAGGTACATGAAATCAGGGCCTGTGTCCTTTGGAGGCGACACTTGAATTAGAATATTCCTTCCCGCCATCTCACATGTTTTGGGGAGACGCTTATATTCAACATTTCCGTGAAAATATGTGCTGGCCTAACATCGTGATGGAATGGTAATGGCGATGTGAATCAGGAAGCTCTAGACTAGACCATCCAATTTAAAAGGTTCAGGCTATGTTTACACTACATTCTTATTGGCCAAGGCAATCCAGTTTTCCTGACACATAATGCGGCAAA